CATTATTTATTGTACTTCCACTTGCTTGGTAAAGGTGGTGATTTTACAGCGCCAGTAGTCATGCAACCACATCCATTCAGAACTGATTGCTGATAATAAATTTCCTTACTGTAAATGTCAGTGGGTTTTGTGTGTTGCTGCCATTACATCTTGTTTGGAAGGCTGAGTATTGCACAATTACAGGAGGCACCAGATGGCATCATTAGCAGGAATGCTCTGAATGTTTACCACTTATGTGCATGTGTGAAATTAAAAGTAAGATGACCTATCTTTATTTTGAAAGCATGATGTCAGTACTATACAGGTGTTAATGACATTTAGAGCAAACTGAAGCAGTCGGTCCTGCTTCAAAAGGGGATGTTCTTCTTTTTAAAGATATTTTTCCTAAGAGTTTGTAGATTGCTTTTGTGAATAGCATGGTTTCRGCTTGCAAAGAGGGAATATATATTTACAGGATGAAATGTGACATTGCTTGCTCTGCTTTTTGCATTTTACTTTTATAGCTTTTCATATTTGACACCCCTTAGATTTTTCAAAGAATTCATTTCTTGAAGGAAATAACTATTTATGTCATCTGATACTGTAGACAGAGTAGGTACAATAGACATGTCCGAGCTCCGTTCCCCTTCCCTGCTTTGGGAAGGTCCAGGGCAAATCCCAGGTGTCAGAGGGAGTCCCAGGGTCTGGCAAAGGCATGGCCTTCATTGCATAGGCTGTGTTTTTCCAGCAGGCTGAAGAGGAGCTTTTCCTCGAATGAAGATTGTCATAATAATCCTGACTTCTTTTATAAAGGCCTTTGAGTTCTATAGACGGAAAATACTATATAAAGAATAAGTATTATCATTGCAAACATTTATTTTATTAAGTCACAGTTAAATTAAGAACAGTTATTTTACAGGGAAGAGGGAAAAAAAGCAATTCAGGCTGCATTTTTCATCGCTGTTTTTCTTCTTTTTCCTTTTCCCTTCTGCTTCTGGTGTTTGTGTAAATCTGTGAAGGCTTAGAAGCCCCATTTGAAAACATGTTTACAGATATTTCTAATGAGACTTTCTGGAATGCAGTTTTTCTCTTTATCTTAATGGAGCTGGAAAAGCGTGCATTTTCCAATAATTTTTGTTCATATCACCTTGGTAAACATTACTTTTTTTTCCCCTGTGATTCAAATGGAGCTTGAAATTAAAATAGCTCTGTTTGTTCGCTTTCTTGTTTGCCCGTTGCTCTCGCTGACCTCAGCACCCACCTAGGAACGGGTTTGTTAATAATTTTCTACTCCCTCCAATGTTTTTTTTACAGTAGCAGAGTTCAAATTGCATACAGGCACAGAATCACATAAAACGGAGCTGGGAAAGTCCCTCCAAGCAACTCATTACTCCTCCCATGGTTAATGAAGGATCTCTGAGTCAATTCCATGTTTGTCTTTAGTTCTCCAGCAGTGGTTCTTAAGAATGATTCTTAAAATTAAACACTCAATGAAACCAAGTCCAACCTATGCTGTTCTGTTTGAGCATCCGCGTGGGCAGCTCTAGCAGTGACCATCACCGCTTTCCTTGACACACTTCTGTTGCTATGTTAGGATATATCTGGGAATTGCACATGCCTTTTAAACAGAGGCGAAGGACAAAGGGCTCGAGGTGGAGGGAAGGGGCTGTCCTCATGCCAAGCCCTGCATCTGATTCGGGAGGTGGCACCCGTGGGCTCAGCCCTCACAGCTGGGGCAGGTGGCAGAGCCACAGAGGCTGCCGGCATCGCCAGGGCAAGGCCCCACCATGAGAATTCAAGACCCCACCAACACTTTTTGGTATAATCAGCAGCTTTTTATTTAATCCCCGAGTTGAGTGTGTCTCTCCTAATGATGGCAATAATTGCTCTCTGCCTTAGATTAGTTAATGATTGCTGTTTTATTTAATAAATTGGATGCAGAATAAACAAGTTAGTGTTTGCTATTGACCTATCAATTATGCCATCTGATTACTCCTCTGGGGAACATATGTAGTCATTTGTCCTGACGTTTTGTTAAAATAAGGTGGTATTATGGGACCAATCCACCTAATTCCTTACTCCCTGGGGCCGTTTAGTGTACTTAGCTGTTGGAAAGGTGATTTTGGAAAAATGACAGCTGTTGGTGTTGGGGCTGTTGTGAGGCGAACAAAACTGGTTGTATCCTCCTCCCATGCTGCCTTTGTATGGCGGCCACAGCAGCTGTTTCATAAATTAGATACAACTCTTCCTGAGCAAATTGCATTACTGCTTTGTATTTCATTGTTGGAGTACATTTAAAAAAAAAATAATAGCACTTGCTGTGGAAGGAGGTGTTTGAACTTGGCATTGCCGCAAGGTCTATTTGGTTTATCCTATTAGCCACTGCCATTCCCATCTAGTTAGTTTGGTTGATGAGATGCATTAGAAGAAGTTTCTTGCTGTGTTCCTTTTGGCGTTTTATTAATGTTGTTAAAAGCAACTTTTCAGTAGAACACTGAAAGTTGCTCCAAAAGACATTACTTTTTTAGGAAGTCTGTGTGCAGCATCTCCTCGCTTTAGTTGTCCTTGCTTGAGCACAAGCATATAGGGGAAYGTAACTAGAAAGGAAGCAAGATGCTTAGGTACTTACATATTATTATATATTATATTTGTGCTTATTTCACTGGAGCTGCTGCAGACCCCAGTAAAATCCCTCTGCTTGTGGGGAGGAGATAAGGATGGGCAGACCAAGTCTAAAAGACCTGCAGTATCTGCAGTCACTTTTAGCATTTCTTTAAATGGACTGGATTGCAAGCTAGCTGTCCCATTGAACCCRAAAATACCCAGAAAATTCTCTTTAAGAGGTTTCTTTTCACAAACTCAAGTGATTGGAGCAAGGTTTAAATGCAGGAGCTTCACCACATGGTTGTGGCACTGTGAGATTTCCATGCCGATACGCACAGAACAACAGCAAACGTTGGAATTGGGGTATATCCTTTTAGCATGCTGCAAGCAGCCTAATACAAACTTTATTTTAAGCAGTGCTTTTGGATGGAGGGATGCCATYGATCATTTTAATTCTTTTTTGAAAACCTTTTCCAGTGATTTGCAATGTTGAAATGTTATAGATTCATTAATCAGATTTAGAGATTCATTAATTCTGGCAGATCCTGCCAWAAGACAGACATTTTTAACCCCCCTTAGAAAGTGCTGGCTTCGTGCTAGGTTGTTGAGCTTACTCATTTGTTGGTAGAAACTCCTATCTTACATATAACAAGAATTTGCAACCTACTCTATGGCAACGACCCAGTTGGTGAAAGCATTTCTCCATTTGCTTGTGGAAATGCACTGGATTTCCTAGCCAGGTCATTGCAATGAAGCAGCCCACCGCAGGTCACCTCATTTTTTAGGATATGTTCTGGGACTTTCTTAGCAGAGACCAGTCCCTGAGCTGGGTCTGGTTCACCACTGGATGTCATCATTGCACCAGGAAGAACTACAACTGGAAGAACATTTGTCTGGCAGTAAAAAAAAAAAAAAAGAAATGTTGCCTCATTACATCACACACTTAATTCTGTCACATCCCAAACTGTTTCCCAGACAGTGAGGTTTGTTTGCAAGTCATCAAGACATATTCCTTTCGGAAGACGCAAGCACCCCGCTGCAGTGTGCAGGCAGTTCGCCAGCCTCTGTGGCTGCACCTTGTTGGACTTCAATGCTGGCTTGTCACCATCACAAGCTCTAGTCCCAAAGGTCTCCGGGGAGTCTGTGTCCCATGGCCTTCTGGAGAAGGCCAGCACCATTGCAGTAGCTTTAAAATACAATCTTCAATCCTAGGTCTTGACTAATATACAGAGAATATGTTTTTACTGTAATTCTGTAGGGCTTAATGTTGTTAAACCTTTGTCTCTTATGAGTAACAGAGGAAGACCTGTTAGAAGTCAGATTGTCTCCTGTATAAGTGGTACCACAAAAWTATGTTAGGAGAATACTGTCTGAAAAATAATAAAGTAGTCCTGTTTTCTATGTCTCCCTTCAGTGCAGGTGTGAATCTACAATGATGCAGGCTGTGAAAGGTGTACAACCCCAAGTAACAGCAAAGAGGCCAAGTGTGTTGTGCTTCAAGATGGAAAATGCCTCCCTGTCTCTCATTAGAAATTTGAAAAGTATAAATAGTCCTGGGTAGAAGAAAWAGGATTTCTGTCAAACACACTATTATGTCTTGGCCTTTTCTATCTTCTTTTATTATCTGAAATCTTTAAATTGCCTAGTGACACCTGGAGGGACCAATATACCTCCAGGCACCAAACCTGGAGGCCAAAATATACATGGAGTTTATTGTCTCTCCCACTGTATGTATTAGAATTAAGGGAAACTGTGAAGCTCCTAATTAACTTATTTATAGCAAGATTTCTGGCCAGAGTGTTGATCTCAGTGGCAATGTGCTAGCTTAACCATTTGACAGTCTCGTTTTCAATGTAGTTCTCCTAATAGATTTAACAAGATTAATTTTATCATTTAAGGAGGGAGAGGATTTTCAATGTGCTAATTGAACCCACGAAGGCATTCAAGGTATAAGATTGTAATTAATTTACAAGTAACACCATTTCCATAAATAAAACAGCAAGAGAAAAAACCTCTCCAGAAGGTACAAAGATGGTCTCCACGTCATGTTAATATGTGCTCCCCAGGTGTTAGCTAAATGGCAGTAAATTACAGAAGAGGCAGCATTTCAACCTCTCTTTAAAAGACTCCAGCGCCTCTTTTCCACGAGAAGCCAGACCATTAAGCTCTGCTAGTTTTCTGTGACCTATTAAAGATGCACATATTTCAACATTTTTAGTACCATTTATCCATTGTGTTATCTCGTGGAGTGCACAGGAAATTCATAATGTTAGCCATGTCAGTGAGTCATAATAAGTTTTCTATGAATGCAAGGTAATGCATTGCTAATGGCTTAATGATTTTTGGCAGACTTTTCTTGTTGGTGGGTTTGGTTTTTTTTTAATGTATTTCTGTGTCATTATGCATTTCTTCTTCAGTTGGCCTATGCTCTGAACTACACTGACCGAAAGCTGACGCTCGAATCTAAAGTGTCCATCAATACGAGAATTGTGGTGGTTGGTGCATCCAATGTTGGAATCTCTTTTCTGGAAACACTTGTCTTTTGGTAAGTTTTTTACCTGGCTTCCTTTACTGAGAAGAACATGTACCCTTTCTGAAAGGGCTCACATCCTCCATTTCGGACTGTATCTCTTGCAAAAGCAGAAATGTGCTGTGACCCCATATTCCAATACTAGATGATAGAGCTGTAAGCCTCAAAGCTGTGAAAATAACAAGGTAGGTGCCTCTGTCCTGACATCTCTGCCATTTATCATCACTGCAGGTTGTATGAGAGCGGGCAGGTAGTGAGAAAGGTTTATTTTGGAGCCCCCCTTCTCCAGTGGCTCTCTCTCTGTTCTATCACAGATTATTCCTTCTATTCCAGGACACCTCCATACCAATTTTAAGGTTGCAGGAAGATCAGGTTATTTAAGTGTGAGTAGATCTCAATTTATGCAGTTATTTTCTGCATAGCTCAAAATTTGGGGTTTCCATATCTATGAGTGACATCACCAGTTAAAATTCCTATACAGTAAGAAAAGATGGTGAATTGCTTTGTGGATGTTGTTATACTACTAAAAGAAGAAGGAAAAAGTATAATGCTTGCTGGTTTTTCTTTTTTCTTGGCACAAATGAGGAAGCACAGCCAGAATATTTTGCCAAGATCAGCCCAATGGACTATAATACATCTAAAGCTCCAACAAGATACCTCAGGCAGGAGCTGTCCTCTTGCAGCAAACAGAATGGACAGGTAGTAACATGTCTGTGCAGAAACCCTCTGTCCTCTGGAGATATTTCCTCGCCCAAGACTTTTCAGTACTGTTTGAACTGTGTTCTGATGAAGGACATGTCCTTCTTGTAGGTGCTGGAGACAAGTACACTTCTATGTACAAGTGAAGTGTTTGCCTCCACTAGCAATGGAATATTGCTCTGAGAGCTCCGAGCCAGCAGGCAGTACCCAGGGTAAAATGCTCCTAGATTTGTGTTAATTTGTGTCTTTAAAAAAAAAAAAAAACTCATTTTTAATTTTCACATGAGCTGCAGATGAAAAATCTCCTGATCAACATGAAGATCTTTTAATACAGTTTAGTTTGATTTACTCACAATTCTCTAATATTCCTTGCAAAGGTTCACATGCGCTAAAAATAGCTGGATTGAATCAATTTGTAAGTGCCTAATCCTTAAAAAGAGGAAGTAGTTTTCGCCTCATTATTCCTCATACTTAATTATTTTATATTAGCAATCACCATGGAAACACCYGTGTGTAATTCACTTACCTAACAATTATTAGAACTAGATTTTACAAGTGATTTCAACTTGAGACCAGAGAAATATGTTTGTCATTGCATGCTAAAATAACAGGATGGTTTGTAGCTCCTGGCTTGCTCCTGTTGTGCTCCCAGGGCGGCACTGCGCTTCGCAGAATGTCCATCTTGGGATCCAGAGAAGCCTGAGGGGACCTGCCAGGTCAGGAAGCACCTTCCTAACACACAGGAGTCCTGAGCATCTTGCTCCCATCGTGCTTAGGCTACTGCAATGACCTCGTCCTCGTTTCACCATCCTAATAAGTATCTCATGCTGATCTTTATTTCCCCGTGTGTTCTCATGTTCGGATGGGTGTTTTCGACTGTTGCGCTCCTGCTCTCCCATGTACCCAAGAGCCCTGACCTGAGGTGCGTCAGGGCTCCCTGCAGGAAGCAGYTTCCCGGACGGATTAGAGAATAACTCTGCTTGCTGGAGCCTCCTGTCGGGCTTCCCTTGCGCACAGGACGGGATTTCACTGGCTCTCCGGCAAGCGCAGCCACGTGGGGCCCTTTGCCGAAGCGGCAAAGTTTTGCTTGAATGACTTTGTATTAAAAAATACACAGTAGTGAGAGAATTTTGTCTGGTATTCAGTGCATGTTACAACACTTGCACAGCCCACTCTTAGTTTTGCAGTGGTGTGGGCAGCTGACTGCAAATTTTYTGTTGTGCAGGACCCTGAGAAAGGGAGGCTAGCAGAAGTTTAAAAAAAGCATAAAAGTATATCATTTATAGATGAAAAAGCTACTTTAAATATACAACTACAAAATTTGTGTTTGAAAGTTATTTTGAAGTGCAAAATCTGTTTTTACAACTACAGCCTATGAATAATTCTCATGTAGCATATTGTGTGAGAAGGAGTAAAGACCTGTGTGTGGAGTTTGGAAAATAGTGGTCGTTAGAGGTGAGGTTTGAGCACGGGATGTATTAACTGCAGTTAAACAAGCAATTTCAAAAGRCTACAAACAGCTGAGATGAGTGTGAGGCAGCTCAGTGTCCCTCACAGCTGCCCGAAATACAGCTCCATAGGAATGTGAGCTACAGCACCTCATCTTAATCTTTCCATTTTCCTGCTTTTGACATACACTAAAATTATAACCTCCTCCCCAAATACTGATTTACTCAGAGGGCAGGGTTGGTTTGTCTTCTGTATTCCATCAAGTTTAAACTCCCAATTTATGAACGGTGATCACAGCAGCAACGTTCAGCCAGAATAGCAGATAACTCAGAAACAGCCTCTTGGTGTCATTTCAGTGGGGGGATGCCCCAAATGACACATGGGCCAGGGCGCTCGGGCAGCAGGACACTGGCATTTGGCTGTTCACGTAACTCCAGAGCGTTCCCAGCAGCATCTCGTTGCTGGTGACAGCAGAGGGGACCGATTAGCTTTTTGTCCCCCTCTTTGCATATAGCTATGGGAAGTGTTGCTGTCTTCTGATTACGGGGAAAGCCCTTTTTAATCCATGATTTTGGAAACCTGCTTAATCGAACCTCTGGTGTAAACMATGACTTATTCTCCCCGGACACTGGGAATATGCACAAAGCACTATGCAAAGTAGCACCAAACAAATGGGGGCGGGGGGGCTGCAGTTAGATTTCATGTGATAATGTTGTGAAATACGTTCCTTTTTACATTTGCATGTTTGAAATTTTTTTTTGCATTAAAAAAAAAGTTAAAGTATATTTTTGTTAAAACCCTGTATCTTCCACTGAAAATAGAACTGGACCCTCTCTAGCATTGCAAATCTCCCAGATTTTGTCTACAGGACAGATTCTCCCTTTTTGAATTAAAGATGCCTAAAATTAGCTTCGCAATGGCAGGGTTTTGTTGTTGTTGTTGTTTTTTTTTTACCACACTTTTCCTGATAGAGCAGCTCTGATTCCTGCTGTCTGGCAGCACTGTATTCCACAGTATCCCGCACATCTGTCCGGGTTGGCAATACTTAGCATAATGCTTGCTGTTTAATTAGGCTTTTTATCTTTGCATTTGTCTGAGAATGTCTGAAGCCTTCCATGTTGTCTGTCACTAATTAGTTGACTAATTAAATAGTTAGTGCTTACTTGCTGATCACAGAGCTAGCACGCAATGAATGGTTTGGTGATCTTCATTGTTTTATACTATCTATCTCTGCCATGTGAACTGATATGCACGTGCTTCCTTTTCATCACCCCTTTTTCTTCTTTCATACCAAGGCAAAGCCAGCACAATGTTGTGGCTGGCCATGTGTTCGGTGTCACCAAGCCTGTGTCCCTCAGACATTGTTGCCTTCCATCATTCGCAGTGAATAGAGATCACGTTGCGACAGAGATGAATAAGACAGGTCATGCCTTGCCGTGTTGTTCGATCGGGAATGCGATGAATCCCAGTCTGATACGAGCCATAAGCTGTGGCAGAGGCTCGATATCATCCTTCATAACAGCCCTTTGACAAACCTCAGCCAAAAGTGATCCTCAATTAGCATCACTATGTTATGCTTTTCTAATTACATTCTTCTGTCACAGCCCATTTGCAGCTTTCAGAGACTCTTTCAACTTTTAACACACACAATTATTTGCCTGAGCAAAATTCTAGTCTTTTGTACTTCGAATTTTTCTGCTAATGTGAAGGAGCTGTGCTTTCTGTTTTATTCTTTTTATTCAGTTAGTTTTGACTTTTCTTAAAAAATACTTTTCACTGAGAGCTGCTGCAGGGGTGTAACTTCTGTTTTTTTCAAAGCAGTCAATAAACTGCCCACAAGTTTAAGAAAACCAGACTTTTCAATCAGAGAAATAATCTGTCTGATTGTGTTGTGATTCTGCCCTCTAGTGTTTAGTATAGCTTTAATTCCCATTCACAGATAAGTATTTTAATGCTCAGAGTGAGTGTTTGGAAAAATGATTCGTAGTATAAGGAGATTCACTGTATAAGGAGTTTGCTACATAGATTTTCCTAAGCAAGAGCCTGGAAATGTCACATCTCGTGGTGAACTGTCTAGTATTGAAAAGGACCCCCTAAGAAATGTGCAGCTGGGGTGTCGGAGGAGTCGCAGTTTGGATTATGCTTCTCTGGTGCTGCCCAAATGCAGTGACTTTTCCTAAGGTTCCCCAGTGCCAAATGGGAAGGCAGCTCGGATTGAGCCTCAAGTGATGTAAAGATAAAGGAGAAAGATGTAAAATTACAGCACTTAAGACTCAGTTTTAAGTTGTTCTCAAGAGTTTTAGTCCAAGTATTTGAATGCTGTACAGCTTCATTAATATGAAAATACAAAGACTGTTACACCCTTTACAGGTATTGGCAAGATGCTGGTAAAAACGTTCAGAGAAAAAAAGTTTGTTTAGCCAGAGGTGGCTAAAGGCAGGGAGAAGAGCTCAGAGGGAAAATTGCAACAGTCACTGTGGATTGAGGAGCAAAATGTGGAAGAGAAAAGTGTGCAGGAATAGGTAGAGCCGAACTGAGAGAGGTGAGGAAAGCGAAGCGGCCAGTGGGGTGGGAGAGATGTTCAGAGGGTCGGGGGCAGGGATGGCCCAAGGCGAAGGCAGGCTGTGCTGTTTCAGAAAAATCAGTTCTGCCATGGGCATGTGAATAGGAGGCTGGAAGGAGATGTGTTCAGTGGAGGACAGCAAAGGAATAAAGATGGTGGGGTGGTCTAAAGCTATCTGGAAAAAGTGAAGCGAATAAAAAAATTGAAATACAGCAGTGTCAGAGTTGCCAGTATTTTGTAACCATGTTATTTGGGAACAGYGGAGAGGAGAAAACAGAAAATTGAATATTAAAATTTCAAGCTTGAAGAGAATCAAGGAGTAACCACTCAAAGGAAGAAAATAAAAGAATTATTTGATGTTACCTAGCAGGGGAACCCCAACTGTATTGGGGGAGACTTTTTTGAGGCAAGATGGTGAAGAAGAGGGATCATRAAAGGAGAGGGACACCACATGAGCACAGATCAGAGATGGGAAGGAGGTTGTAGGGAGAGCAAGGAAAGAAGTGGAAAATATTTATTTTTTGAACCCTGGGGCACCAGAAGCTTTGCAAGAAGAAGCCAGGAAGGAAGGGAGGGAGGGAGGGAGGGAAAGAAAGTGAAAGCAGCTCTTTAAGTACCACCCTTCTTTGGGTGCCACCTGTCTTTGGAAAATGAGAGTCTGCTAAAATTCATGGGGAAGACTCTCACTGTGTGTTTTGCCAGTGCTGAGACCTCTCCTGGAATAGGAACTATCGTGTTCTGGGAAGAAAAAGGTGTGAATTTCCCCAGGGAAGTCATTGACTGAAGTCTCTCTCCCCTGCTGTCAAAATTAGACAAAATTAGACCGATAAATCAGACAGATTAAATGAGCTGCTGGGAATTGGTTTCGCTTTTCTTTTTTTTTTTTCCTTTTATTTCTACCTCTGTTCTTGATAGTTCCACCTGGTTTTTGGAGGAAGTCTCACCCCAGACAGTTTACTGAGGAAGTGGGGAAACCACTTGCCCCTTGTATGGAAAAGTGTCTCAGTGCAACATGTTCAGAAATCCCTTCTTTCACTGAGCACATTAATTCACAACCTTAATATTTTTTCTTAYGGTTGGTGCCAAGGCCCTCTGCCTCGTTTTCACATATCTGCATGCTCAATGTTGTGTTGATTCTTGCTTGTTTGAGACAAATATGGCTGGGAGGAAGGGGAAGGGCATAGACTTCATTTCAGCTTTCCCCGAGAAAGCATTGTACTTTATCCACGTGAAGAAAAGCAATTTAGGATAGTGGCAGTATGAAAACACATATTACCCATAAAGAAAGTATACGGTACCATACAAATATGTATCCTTTGGTGAAAATATATTTATTTTTGCATTAGCATTTTCTGCCCTGTTAAGCTGAGCCTTTCTGTTTGTCACTTGTGTAGAGATGGGTTTTTTTTCTGAAAGTCCTGTTTTTTTGCAAAAGTCTGTTCTCCAAGGCTTGTCCTGGTTTTCTTCTTGGTGAAAGAAGAAGAAGCTGCAGCCCTGCTTTGGGTATCACATTATCTGAGCCAAGGGGAGCTGCTGTCTCTGTGACCCTTCTAGACAGAGGCTGCTCCTTGGGCTGGGTTTCTCTGCCCGGTGCCCAGGTTACTGTCTGCTCACCCTTCTGTGTCATCATCCCTCCTTCCGCAGCCCTTCTCCCCCTCCAAAATCGTAAGCTCTCTGTTTTGTTGCAAGCCTGTGGGGGGAAATTTCCAGAGTTTCATTAATGCAAGAATTTCTCACAGCTCATTCTTGAGAGTAGAGAAAACAGACTGTTTGTTACCAGTTTTAAACTCATCTAGAGCTGCCGTATTTAAAATGTCTGTGCTGCAACAAAGCTGAGGATAGAGCATAATTACACCTTTGCATAGGATATAATGCCGAGCGATAAATTGCTTAAAGATTATGCTTATAGGAGATCATGGCATGGACTTACCTACTTTGGGATTTTATTTGGATAAAGCATTCTCCCCTGTCACCCTTTTTATTTTGATTTCTATAAATGACTGATTCAACTTTTATCTAAAAAATTCCATGATTGGCAGATGATTGGCAAATGACAGTGTATACCTAAAACACATACTAAAACTTCTGGTTTTTGCTTGTGCCCTTGCTTGCTTTCACAATAAATTGGCAATCTTGCTCTGTTTTTGAGAAGGAGGATGCTCAGACCTCCTTTTGCAGCCACCCTCCAGGACTGTGCACAGAAACCCGATACCTTTTACTTATTTCCCTGGATACTCTAATCCCTCCCCGCTTGGCCAGTGTCTTTGCGCTGTTCTTCCCTTTTGTATCCACAGCAACACGAATCCCTGCTGGAATTATTTGCTTCTGAAATGCAGGTGCTCTTGTGTCATATTGTGTTGGTTCAGGTTCTTAACTTGCAGACTCTATTTTGTTATTTTTTCCCCCAAAATGGGCACCTCTGCTTGTACTGCGCTTTGGCTTCGGCAGTGCTGTACGTATGGGAAGCACACAGGGGTCTCTCTTCTGCAACACAGCACCTGTTTCCAGATCCTTTGCTATGCAATAAATAATCCATCCTTTTAGCAGTCTGCAAATAATGCTACTGTGGGGAAAAAAAGGGAGAATGAGACAGAGTTTGATAATGTTCAGCATAGTCAAAGGTGCAATCTGTCTGCAACTTTTGTGTTTCAGGAATGGATTTTAAATGTTACTTAAGCACCTCCATTTTGCCCCTATTTCCCCAGCTTGTATTTAAGTACCTGTGTATGGGTTTAAAACCTTGGCCCTAGGCATCCYAAGCGCAGTTCTCAATTCAAGTTTGGTAATTTAGCAAGCTGCTTGTGTGCCATAAGGCTGCTGTTGGTGTTTAGCTTCATATTTAAAAGGCGCCCATGCTGCGAGCTGACATGCAGTCAGGATAGTCCTTTCAAAAGCAGGCTGGGAACCAACAGAAAAAGCCAGTGTAGGGTCTGTTTCCTTTCYTGACCCCTGATAGCTGTGCTGTGTGGGCAAATTTCATAAGCCAAAATGTCTGCAGTTGCTTGTTTTGAGATGAAATGGTCAGAGCTGGCAGGGCTGGGTGCTGGACACTGTGAGCTAAGGCAGCTCCTCCAGCACCGGTGAAGAGTGGGGACACGAGGAAGGCCTTCTTAGGTGCTGGGCTCACATCGTCCTCAAATACACCTCCAAAATCAGCAGGCATTTTTGAGGGGTTTCATCCAATTTTCTAAACATGCCATGATTTTCTAAATATAAATATAAATTGGGAATCTAAATATAAAATGGGAATCGTAACTGCAGCTCACTCATTGTTCCAGGGTATTCTAAGGAGACAGTAATGAGTGTTTTTATGCCTAAGGGGTTAATGAATGAGAAATGTGAATTAACATTTRGGGCCCGTGGGAATGCCCTGGGAGCCCTGAAATAGAACTGCAGAGAGTGTAAAATCTTGAACTGAAGTGGGGAGGACCCAAAGAGCTCTCAAATGTCTGCAGAAATGCTGAATGAGGGTGTAAGGATGAATGACAAAGAGCATCTGCAGAAGAAACTAGTATGTGGCCAGATCCATAAGGATGACATCCTGCTGCACATGTGCAAAAGAGGTCAAGTGATGCTGCTGGGGGCCTTCTTCCTATCATTTCCTGATGCTTGCTTGCATCACGTGCAWCCTAAAGCTTGATAAGTTTAAATGCAATGTGACTGGAGCACTTGAAGACCTGCTGGGTAAGAGGCCACGCACARTGTACCCAGTTGCTGCATGGGGTAAGAGGCAGGATAGAAAAATGTCTTGGAATAACTTTCCTCGTAATTACATGCCAAGGAGTCATACTTTTTAGGTGTGTGCAGGTAATTATATTTATCCACATTCACAGTGCCTMATGAGTGCAAGTGGCTTTCCATACACTTTAAAGTTCAGCTGCATGTGTTGGGCCAGACTCTCATTTGTGTTAAGACTACTTTAAATCACTCAGCCAGCATAATGTGTCCACAAATGAAGGGCAAAATTATTTACACCTATCTCTGCAGAGTGACCTTAATTTAAAAGAGAATCAGGCCCATAATCTTTATAAATATATGCACTTTGTTACATTAAGGTTATTTATTACATTGCACTCATCCTAAGTATGCATGGAGATTTGCTATAGATAATCCATAATCCAGAATTAAACTATTAATATGCATTTTGAGCGTGGCAACCATAACCTGGAAATTCCTTGGTTTAAGTGTGACCTTTACCTTTGTTTGAATATATTTTTTGGAACATATGAATAACAAATTAACATTGGTCGGTAAAAAGCATTCTGATTCCTTGGTAGCATTTGCACCAATCCATACTTACACAAAGCCTTGAAGATTAGAAGGCTTTAATCACTCATAATATTTATTTGTTTTTAAATGTCAGATCGCATTTGGTTCAGCATACTGTCAGTCCCACTCAGTCCCATTCCTTCCCACACTGCARTGTTAGAGGGACTGCAGTAGCAAGTATTCTTCTTTTGGTCTCTGAAGACATATGCCCCTTAGAAAAATGGTAAGTCTTATTTTAAGGCCAATGTAAATGCATTGTTTTCTGTATCCTGGTGGTCTCGAAATCAAAGTCTGTGCTCTTTCCTCCGTACATCCTTCAACTTCTGATAGACTTGCTGTAGGAAGTGGCCAAGTGAGCGGTTGTCAGGATATATCCTGCAGCCGTATCTCTTCCTAGAGAAGCTGGACTGCAAACAGCAAAAGCACAAGAGTGGTTTTTATTCTGTTCCACCCAGAGAATGACTTGTTCCAACCCTGTTAACGTGCCACTTGCTGGTGTATTGGCATGAGTAAGTCACTCTTGAAACTGTCCAAAATCCGCGCTGGAAGGTAAGGAAGAAAGGAAGGGGAAGATGGAAATGTCGGGCACTCTCATCGCCGGAGCTAGATACTCTGCTGCTAATGGAAGGGATGGAGTGGGATTCTCAGCCATCTATAAACACTGTGTATAAGCAGCTGTGTGTTACAACGCACTCGCATTACGGCTGCAGCAAACTGAGCCTTAGCAAGTTCATACTGACCCAACTAACCATGCTGTTTTGTTCTTTTCGCAGCCCGCATCTGAAGTTTAACAATCTGACCTTGATTTCAGTTCATGGCCTTCCAGGAAAAAACCCACCAGGCTCCAACCATGGAAGATTTTTAATTAACAGGTTTGATTTAGTATCTGAGTACTTCTTTAGCTTCAAAGTGAAAAATATAACACTTTACAGATCTTTGTGAGTTTGCCCTAAATTTTAGAGAGATATCCAGACAGATAGACACCCTCAAAGTACTTCTACAGTATATGCGTTCACCTGTAAAATAAGTTAAATGTCATTATCTCTAGGGTGATACTGCAAAGCAAAAAGCAGTAAGCCTGGCATAATTTAATTCTATTATTTTGCATATAACTTCTTATAATCTGCTTTTTCCCAAATCTGTTAATGAAGAAGCAGCAATTTCCTAAGGGACTAGCTCTTTAAATGACCAAGCAACTCARTGTCTTGCTTGCTGAGCCTTAAACATGAAATCCCTTCAGAGACAAAGATATGAGAATGTTGTGATGCTCTCCAGTTTAAAACGGGCTCATCTCATTTGCAATTTTGTCCCATCAAGGATTTTTTGATAGATTGTGACCTGAATTAGTTCTTCCTTGCATAAAGTTCAGGCTCGATGATCTTGAAGGTCTCTTCCAACCCTAATGATTCTATAAGGTGGATTTTTCAAGTGCAGCTCTGGTAAATGAATGGATTATATGTACAAGCAACATGCACACAGAGGCACTTACCCAGTAAAACTCTTCCCTAAGACTTAAAAAAAAAAAAAAAAAAAAAAGAGTTTTACTGGTAATTACAAAACACAGATCCCAAAGGAGAGTTGAAGCCCATAACTGCCTTCCCAGAACAAGCCGTTAAAATTTGAAAGCAGATTAAGGGTGAAAATTGAACTCTGCAGGGTATGATTTCTGAAAGCATCCCTGCGATTCTGGAGTGTCAGTCTCCTGGGAGCCGCGCGCCTCAATTACCAAGGTGCTTTTGAAAAGCCTCCTCTGTCCTTGATGGCCATTTTATTTATAGACTTCTGCATGATTATGGTTTAGAATCGTGAATGGTTTTCTTCCCTTATTTATTTCCCTCAGTGTTTGTGAATACAGGGAATGCAGAGCACCTCAGAAAGCCCGGTCATTCAGTTCTCAGAGTTGCCAGGTCATGAAAACAACTTTATTTGCTTCTGTGGCCTCCTTTAGGACAGTTCCTGGAACTCAATAAGAGCAATTAATCTTCTGCAGCGATCAGTCCTGATAATTTAGAACGCAAATGGTAAATTCAGAGCAGTTTTTAGTGCTGGATCTCTCTCCAGTATTCACCATGGCAGTCGTATGGTATAGAGGCATCAAATGATCAAGCATGAATCCAGTCCCCTTTTTATTTAATTGTGCTATATTTAGCCCTCTTGAAAAGAATGGAATTTGTCAGGGATTGMAGGGATTTTTATCCCTCAGCTTCAACAGGAAGTTATGGAGCCTGTCAATGCCAGTGAGCATTACTTGGTAGATGTCCAGGTTCTTCCTRCCTACAGTGACTTCAAGGCTATAAACAGATTTGGGATTAACATTAATCTTCATTTCTACTGAAAGAACCTTATTTTAACAGCATCTTTCCTGTTTTAAGTTTTCAGTGTTAGGAAAGTACTGAGTCTGGCTGGATTTGAAAGATGTCTGGCAATATTCATGGGGGGCTATTGCAAAGCTCAGTGGTGTTCAAGAGTCATCACAGATCAGGAGGAGAACGTGCTGCGCCTGTTTCTCCAGCATTTTACAATGCTATGGCTRGTATACATCTGTGTTGATTTATTTTCTCTTCAGAAATCTTTGCCTGTAGGATCTTTGCCCTTCCTGAAGTCTCTTAAGCAGAGAGGATGACATAGATGTCATAGTAAATAAATATCCCAGTACTTGTTCATTTGTGTGTCCCCATAATTCACACTGCTCAAAAATAGAAGAAGGGCAGGGAATGTACCTCAGCTGAAGAGAGGGACTTCCAATCTCCTTTCTCACTCACCTAGGAGATTTGGGACCAAAATGTTCTGGAAATCATAATCACTAGATAGAAAAAGGTTTTGCTTCTTAAAGCAAACAAACAAGCCTTCGTATTGGTGGTTAATTAACATTAGAGATAATTTCTTTGAAATTATAAAAATGACATCTCTGTGCAAGATGAATACCAAATGAAGCAAAAGTGGAAAAAAATTAATGAAGGAGTCTTGTATGCAGAAAAAAAAGGAAAAAAACAGAGCAAAAATACTTCTGCAGGTGCGAAAATCTGCTGGTTTCATGATCGTTTCAGCTAAACACAGAGCAAAGCACATCTTTCTGACTCTATTCTGAAATTCTGGGGTAGTGTGGCCCAGTGCTGGGAGGGATTATTTGGTTTTAGCAGAAAGTTGTCAATTTGTAACCGAGTATTTCATAATGAATAGTCTTTTACTATAGACTTGTAGGAAGCTCACAGCAAGAGAGCAGGCTTGAACCACTAGGGGACTTCAACTAGCTCACCAGATGTCTAATTAATGCCTGCTGTCAGCTGCTAAAATGTCACTTACAGATATTCTTTCTTCCCAGCCACTGTTTTAATGATCAAGATTATGCACAGATGTCACTTTGTTCCTGGGTTAATGTTGTGGTTGGTAAAATGACTGGCATCAATCGAGCTGCCAAATATGTAGTGGTCTCCAAGGGGAAAAAAGTGCCCTACGATCACCTTGTTCTCTGCACAGGACAGCAGTACCAGGTAAGGGTGTAAGACACGCCGAATCACCCCACTCAGTGATTTGCAGTGAATAATGTTTCTATGGTTAGACGAGGTGAAGAGTACTCCCCAGGATGACCATACCCAGGTTTGCCCTTTGGTGAAGCAAGTCATGCTATTTCAGTGCACTTGTTGTGGCTGGAGAAGTAAAATATGTTTGAGCATATAAGAGAAGCTTTACAAAACTTTACACCAGCAGTKTCAGAATCAGATGTTAAGTGAGGCTCCTAGTATTTTTTCCACTGTGACCTGCTGAAGAGTAGTCCCAGTCATATGTAAAATGGGGATTCAAGCTTGTGCTGAGCCCTGCAGACTCTTTATTGTGCTSCTTTTCTTAAGACACAAATATTAATGCAAGGTATCCTGAACTCCACAGTTAGATCTGGATTTCATGCTTGCAGCAGTTTTGTGAAGCAAGAAAGTCCCTTTTTTTCCCTATAATCACTTTGCAGAGGAGAATCATACATTAAATGGCAAATGATGTTGGCTCTTTAACAAGGATGAAATAAAAGTTAAAGTGTTATCTGAAAGAGTTTAAGTGCTCCTAGAAAAATGTATTTGGAAAAAAGTCTATCGTTTGCAAAATAAGTTATGGGAAGTAACTCCATTGGAGGAGAAAGATAATTGAGGCAAGAGAAAACTGTGGGTTAACTGCCTTCAACTCAAAAAACTAAAATGATCTTTTCTTATATTATATTTATAATATAGTTATAATATAATATATTTATAATATATTTATAAAAATTAGGAGGGAGTTACCTGCTTTCTGTTTTGTTATGTAGCATCAGTTCATCCTTAGTATTTGTCCCTTACTTGGTAAGAAGTCACATTAACATTAGAAGGCCTAGTGACTATGCAAAACATTAGGCATTAGGATTAAGAGGATTTTCTTTTGGGGTAAAATAGATTATTTGATGTCAGGCCTGTTCTTATATGGCTGAACCATATCCCAGTGGGTCCAAGTGCCAACAAGAACACTGTTAACGCAACAGTGCTCCAAAGTGCGCGTCATGGATCCATTCATTTGGTGTTAGGTGCCGTGTCCCACCGGAGCAGCTATCAGTAAGCTCCCAACCAACCATGAAGTTGAGGAGAAACATCAGCAAAGGTGCCCAGGGGAAGCCCCTTCCAATGTCTTTATCCTGCGCGATGACCAGGACTGCTTAGAGGCAATGCACTGGCTGCAAGAAAACACGGTCAACTCGGAAGGTAAGGGGCTTGGGTGAGCATGTCCATTTGTAGAAGCGTTTTTGAGGCTCATTGTTTGCTTAATTCCGTGGTATAATTGGTGCCTGATTAATTCTAACAAAGTCTTTCATCTGCTCTGCTTTGTTTTCCAGATTAATTTACAATTTGTTGTCATTTTTGATACCCAGCATATTTAGCAAGGAAAATGAGGCTTGAGATAGATTAATTATCTATAATTATTATATAAAGCAGAATGAGTCCCAAATGCAAAGCTGGCTGGAGCATTAATTAGCCAACTAAATAATAATTTAATTAGTGAATGTGTTTTTCTGTTGTATAGAAAAATATCCAGGCTGGAGGCATACTACAAAGAGAGAGGTCTAAATTAGGAGGTGAATTTTTTCAATATTTGTTATCTTTGTATTCAGTTACATCAGTTGCAGATTCTCACACAGAACTGCAGGCTCACTGTATTTTTTTTATTAACCATGAAAATCATGCATTTATGCAGACTTTTATGCATCATTACTGGATTTCCTCCATCTCTTTTCATAAGTGGTAGTATTTGTCTTTTAAAAGGAAGGATTATTTTACTGGAGTCTTCTCCATTTRTATGTGCATTATTCACGTGTTCATTAATTGAAGGAATGAATACGTTGTAGAAAATACCTGGGTTTCAAGGTTAAACTCTTTCAACTACAGAAAAAGAGATCAAGAGACATGAGTTGACATGAGTTTCCTGTCTCCATATCTGTTCTTCACCACTCTCTTTCTTTTTCTGCTTATATTTCTTAGCAATCTTATTCTTTCTGACTTAATCATAGCTTTGTCTAAGATATCTATCTGAAAAGCAAATGCATTTTTCAGCAGCTAGCCTCTTCTGGAGGCTGAATTTAATAAGTGACGGGGTCGGGGCGATGTGGAAGCAAAGCTCCTGGTGAGTTTAGCAATTGCCTTGGATGTCTGTCAGCTCTCTGCAGGCCACGCGAGCTCTGCTACTGAGATGACTGCGTTTCATCCTCCCATTTAGTTCTCATCTCTACATTTCTCCTAGTTTTGCCTTTTGGTAAAGAGCAGGGAATTAATCCCAACCTAAATTTTTTCTGGTGTTCAGATTGCACCAAACTTCACATACTTTCTGTCAAAATCTGTCAACTTACTTTAAAGATGTTAGCATGCAGAATTTTTTCAGATAATATTGAGTATTAAAGAATAGGATATGCATATGATAATTTAAGAAATAAAATCAAGACCAGTAGAGTTTGGATTCTGCTCTGAGCTACCCCCAACCATATGAAGCAACGAGGAAGAAAGTCCCAAAATTAATAAGTATAAATATTCCTCCCGTCTTTCTGGAGATTTYTAAAAGGAAAGTGTTAATCATTGAGTCTTAACAATTTGAGCCTCACCAGGCTAATTGGATGAACTCTTCATTTGGTAGCACTGATTTTGAGAGCAACTTTTAATTATGAGTTAAGGCAGGGGTTTTAATTGCTTTCCTTCCTTCGGCGGATGCTCCAAGCAGATGAAGCCAGTGGGTGCCTTTTTCATGGATTTTATGTAAGGCAGCATCGGCCTCGTATCGCACGCTGCCGCGAGGACAGGGACACCAAACAAGAGTGGAAGAGAGAATTCAACACAAGTCGGGTGACTACTGCAGCCTTCCTCCAAGCTCCCCAAGCTTTTCCCAGCTTTGGGAAAAGACAGACATGCGGAGAGCCCCTGAATCCCTCCTGGAGTGACCCTGGAGGCACCCACTCCCGTTTGCATGGGCAGCTCCAGAAGGGCCAGTGGACTCACAGTGTCAGGAGCAGCGTTAGCGGCAGCGGCGCTGCAGCTCCGTGATGAAACCCAGCCGCCCGATGCATGCAGCCCATTACAACCATAATTGCGACTAATTGAAATTCATCTCCTATTAGCGCTGCACTTTCCATGAAAATAAAAAAGTAGGATGGGAGGAAACTAAAGAACAAAACTGCTTTAATGGTCCAAAATGGAGCAATTATTTTTTCTCTTTACTTAAACATAGTTTACTGCCTTATTAAAAGCATGTTTGTAGGAATACTATCACATTAAAATTCCAGTGCATGAATCACTGGCCAGAGCCACCGTTGCTTTCACTAACACTGGTTTACTCCTTTTGCTTTTGCAAACTAAAAAGATGTGGGTCATGCTGGGGTCATTGAAATCTTGTGCTTCCACTTATGGAAAATGAATGATACTGGTCTGCAGCAGAACGCTGGCATTCTAGTAATAAATGATAGAACTCCTCTAATAGTCTTTATTTATGGCTGCTTTTTCTCCATGGAAGATTATTATGTTTACTCATAGATAGATACATTTTCATGCAGTTAAGTAATAAAGGCATCTTGAGGAATTGCTCCCTGTCCAGTGAACATAATTTCAGTCCATAATGAATATCTCTAGTTCCTAGACAACTAGCGCTGCCATTTAAAAGGCCACTAATATTGTAATAAGCAGCCACCGTAAATTGTTGATTTACAAGAGGTCAGTAGAGGAGCATTGCTTTCCTTAACCGAGTGTAATCGTATTTAATATTACCATATAAAACTGAATTTTAATTTTCTTTGAGATATGTGGGGCTTGAATTTGATCTGGTATATGCAGAAATGCCAACATATAATGCTCTTGAAGAAGCTTTCTCATCTGGCAGATGGCTGAGATCTCTCCAGGTCGCACAGGCTTGCGTGCCTTTGTCAGGAYGAAGTTTTGCAAGGCTGGGTCCCACCTAAGCACTGCTCGCTCCCCTGGATGCCATGGCTTCTTCTTTGGCTGCTCGTGTTTGTCACCTCTCACTAACTAAAAATGCCTAAATGTATCGGGAGGTCACCAGCACGCTCATGCCGTGTTCTTACATGCRTTATTAGTGCAGTAGATTATTAAAAATGGATATATCGGAGTTCATCCTTCACCACTGTTTTTGTTTATTTGCTTCTTGTATTATGCCCTGCTGCAGCAGGGAAGGAGGGGATCAGTCTCACTTCTCCCTTCCTTTTTGCCTCTCTGATGAGGACTTTCCTGCGGACAGGGAGGCCTCCTGGCACTTAGGAGCAACTGCAGGGGGTCTTACGGCTTCAAAAATCAATCTTGCAATGTACACATTGTACACAATTCTCATTCTCCTTATCATACATATTCCGTATCACATTTGCAAATGTAGTAGGGACCCTGAAATCTTATAATTTCAGGTAAATGCCTTTTTGCAGGTAAAATCATTCTGTAATTCTGGTCGCTCACGTGAACAGTAAAAATAGGCTTTCAATCATTTCTGAACACATATGATCATGGGGCTATTATTTTCTCTGACCATTAGGAAGAGAGATGTTTCTTTGGCAGCTACAAGTAGCCAAACTAGTGTAGACAAAAAAATAACAGTCCAGTTAAAGGGTAATAGCAGAACATATTGCTAGCAGTGATAATGCTGCTACTCCTGGATGCTAGAGCTCTATGAAGTCTCTGTTTGCATTGCTCTATGTCACATGCTGTAACATGGCCCCAGTGACATTAATTCAGTCTAAGAAATAGTAAGATTTAGGTTGTGGGGGAGTAGTGTGTGTACACTGCTCAATTGTAGTGAGGCCTAAAAGTCAGTGCTGGAGGAGGCAGCAGCACAGTTGGCCCTACRTATTGCACCATGCCTTGTTTTCTATAACTTGTTCTTTCTAGAGTTTGTTTCTTTATTTTTTACTATGTGACAAATTGAATTGGTCCGTTTCTCTCCTCTATGCCTAATAAGTCCTTTGAATAAGTAAAATTGAGAAGGCAGTGGAGAACAAGATTTTAGAAAGCTGTTTTTTTTTTCTCCCTAGAGAGGGTCAGGTGAATGACATACTCCTCTGTTAAGCACTTGCTTACTTCGGGGGCTATTTTGTGCAGCTTCTTCACTAAATTATCTGAGCTGCTGTTGCCAGGTAACATTATTTGCTTCATAGCATCAGAGAAATAAGAGGGTCAAAGAGAGCAATTTCATATTATTATCATCCCAGTTACACTAATCAGCTTTTCATTCCGTCTTGGAAATGTTTCCCCATCTTTTTTTAATTTTTTCCCCTTAGGCAACGTGATTGTCTATGGAGGCACCATCGACGTCTACACCACGGTAGCCACGCTGCTGGCGCTTGGCATTGGCGGCTCCCGCATCCACGTGGTGCAGCCGCCCAGCGGCTCGCAGCTCACCTGCCTCAACGAGGGCGCTGTGGAGGGCGCTGTGGCGGCAGCGCTGGCCGAGGCTGGTGTGGCCGTCCACACCGGSGCCCTCCTGGCGGCGTGGGACGCAGGCGACGGGCCAGGCCGCGTCACCTGGGCCACCTTCACCACCAACACCAAGCTGCTACAGCTGCCCTGCTCCGTAAGTAGGCACGCGCACGGCCTTCGTGCCCCTTCCTGAGGCAAAGGCCCTCGGCGCAGGCTGATCCCCCGCTGCTTCATCCGTCTTCTTGTTACATCTGGAAGATTTAACATTCACTTGTTAATCTGAAGGATTGGAGGGGGGTCGTTTTGTTTTGTTTTTAATCCAAATAAAACCATTGTTGATTCCCTGGCTGATTTGGATTAAAACGTGCTTAAGTCAGCTGCCTTGCAAGTAGTTGTTCATTGAAGAACGGCAAATACTCTTGATTTGTCCTCTAGATCATGCTGGAGATGTGGTTGTTACTCAAACATRCGCAGTAGCTGCTGCCTATATGCGGAGGAGACACCTCAGAGCATCCCCTCTGCATGCCCACTCCTTCCACATGGACTCCRGAGAGGAAGGACCATGTGCTCCCCTCCAGCAGAGTCCCAACCTGTTTCTTTTTAGTCTACAGATACCTAAATCTTTCCTGGTGAAGGGGAATACAGCAAYTTTATCCCATTTAATAGAGTTGACCTGGTTCTATTTTTGGTCCCCTTATCTCAAGACCTAACAAGGGTCCTGAGACCAGGCCTAAGCCCACAGCTCTGAACCTTTCATTCTTCCTAAACTCTGATTCCTTGCTCTCCTCCTATGCAACTTTTCATTTTCTCTGCTCTTTCCCTGAAATCCCTCTATTGTTACCACTCTTCCACAAAAATACTAATATGGTTCTTGTTCCTACTACTCCATGTTCATCATCCTCATTCCCTAAGTCACCTTCCTCTTCCTCCATCACCTCATCCGTGTAACCTTCATCCTTCTGCCCGTGGCCCCATTTGCTCATCATTCCCCTCTTTTTGCCCCTCTTTTTGTCTATCCTTCCCAGGGTTATCACAGAATCACAGAATCACAGAACAGTTGAGGTTGGAAGGGACCTCTAGAGATCATCTAGTCCAACCCCCCTGCTCCAGCAGGGACACCCAGAGCACGGAGCACAGGGCGGCATCCAGATGGGTTTGGAAGACCTCCAGGGAGCTGCCGATCCACAGCCTCCCTGGGCAGCCTGTGCCAGGGCTCTGGCACCCTCACACTAAAGAAGTTCTTCCTCACATGCAGATGGAACTGCCTGTGTTTCAACTTGTACCCATTGCCCCTTGTTCTATCACTGGCTACCACTGAGAAGAATTTGGCCCCTTCTTCCCTACATTCACCACTCAGGTATTTATATATATAGATCAGATTCTCTCTCAGCCTTCTCCAGGCTAAACAGGCCCAGCTCACTTAGTCTTTCCTCGTATGAGAGATGAGAGATGTTCCATTCCCTTAATCATCTTTGTTAYTCTAAATTATACTCCTTCCCACTTGCCATCCCTCTTCTCCCCGCTCCAAGAACAGAAAGGAGCCCTGGCTGCTCATGCGAGGGGCTGTGTCTTCTCCCAGAGCAGTCTACCATCCAGCTGCCTTCTGGGGCATCCTGCTCCGTGCGGATGGAGTGCCGCCTGCACGGAGCGGCTCAGCACAGGGGAGCAGAAGGCGCAGGGAGCAGCATCACAGCAAGAGCCRGGGTAGGGGGGTGGATTTCAGCCAATATCAACTGTTGATTGGCACTTCTTGGGAGGCTTAATTTGCCCCAATCCCGCAGGCTGAAAACAAGGGGAGAAAATCTCCTGCTTCCCTCAAGCAGCCGTCCCCTTCCCTCCCTGCCCTCTTGGGCTGGCAGATGGCTCAGGCCTGGCGTGGCAGCACTCCCCTGCCACCTGCTCGGCACCGAGGTCCTGCCCGCCGGCGGGCAACACAGCAGCCTGACCAGGGCTACGCGACAGCCCGAATTCCTCTGGCAACCAAGGGCGTTGATTAAAGGGAAGGCTCCTTATCAAGGGCCTGGGGCTTGGCAAAAGGCATGGTAGCACCACGCTTCATCTGTTTCCTCTGCAAAGCTATCCTTTGCAGACCTTTGCAGACAACCTGATTTTGTGTAAAGGGTATCTCAATCTTGCCTTTATTATCTGAGTGTCTCCAGTCTCCATTCCTTTTTCTCCCTACTCTGAGGACTTCTATTCTGCCTTTTAGCTGGGGCCCTCAGTGCTGTGCTCAGATGCTCAGCCTAGCAGTTGGTCTRTGCCCACACTTAGGGTTTAGGAGAACAGAAATCCTTGTGGTTTGCAACTGCCTGAAATCTTCTTAATACCAGAGAAGTGCTAAATTGACAGCAGAAAGCAAATCTTCTTCACCACTAATGCAAGTCTTAAGATTTACTATATGTGGAGACAGGCACAAAAATAAATTAAGGCTCTACTTGGGTTTTGTTCCATGATGAAATTCAGCTAAAAGGCTGCAGCATCTCCTAAGGCCCAAGTTTTAGGCAAGATTGGTTTTCTTTGCCCCGCATAGGCCAGCTTAAGACAGTGGCACTGAATTCTGCTTTTTCTGCTAGTCAAGATGCCATTTTCTGGTTTGCACTGGGAATCTCTCTCACTTACGTTGTCTAAAATGGAGAAAGCAGTGGAGACGGGCAGAGATCTCTATGTGCTTGTGGCCCTCCAGCTCCAGGCTGGTCCTTACCAACCTGCTCTTCATCTTTAATAGCTCAGAACTGAGTCATCTCCAGGTGGCATAAGGGCTTCATGGTCCCTGTCTCACCTTGATCTGAGAAGACATTCCTTTCCTACCTGAGCACATTTCTGGGTCCAGATTTCAAGTGGGCTTTTGCCTCTCTAAAATCCCTTTCAGACAAGGTAGGGAACAAAAAAAAAACCACACACCAAGAGCAACCTTGACAAAGCTTGACTTTCCTTCCCAAAACTTAAATTGCCAGCAAGTACAATAAATCCAAATTCATTTTCATGGAAATATTTGGTCCTTTCATAACCCTGACAAATCTCTTGGCCTCCATGGCTTCCCAGATTAAGTTCTGTCTCTGCACTCTGCCTAAAGACGTCTCCTGTTGACAATTCCAATTTCCTATCTTCTCATTTAATTAAATGTCCCAACTCTGGCTGTCTGTGTAGCAGAGTTTACTGGTAAACAGTTAGGTACAGCAGTTCAAAAATTATTTGTAAGGGAGAGCTGGTTGGCTAAAATGCAAAGTTCATTATACTTTTCCACTACTTAGTTTTTCAATTTGGCTTAAGCACTCAGAAGAAAAAAGCAACTTTTTAAAGAATTGCACTCTATTTCATTTACACGTACTAACACAGAAAATATGCATGCCCGTTTGGGCTACCTGAGATATTACTATTACAGTTATTAAAATAAAATTAATGTAATTTAACAGAAGTAGTTGAGCCTAGTTTAGTACTTAATAGATATAAATATGGGACTAGTAGWATATATCCATGTATATAAAATCATGTGGTATTCGTGCTCTTGTTTGTAAAATATACAGCATTCAGCAYGAATGTTTTCTCATTCACAATGAGGATTTTATCTACGAAACCAGACAGTAATTAATGTGTAATAACCTACACTTCCTGACATCTTTTTTAGGCATTTTTTAGCTTTGCCAATAGGATGGTGGATTATGAAACCTTCAAGGCAATTAATGATGCTTGTCTCGTCTACGATGGAAGGCTCGTCATCAATACTGACTTTCAAACGAACGATGTCAGTATCAGGGCTGCAGGCCCCTTAACCAAGTTCTCCAATAGATACTTTGCAAATGAGTGGACTCACAGCAACTTCAATTCAAAAGAGATTGGCTTCCAGCTTGCTGTGTCCATGCTGGAACTCCTTGATCCAACCCTCGAGCCCCTTCCTGAGCCGCAGAAAGATGGGGATAGACTCATCCCCATGTACAATGGCTGTGTTGTTAAAGGTATGTCAAAACGGAGTTCTTCCCCCCTTTCACACCCTCTTCAGCATTTTTGCTGATCCACAGTAAAGGTAAGTTCACCTCACATAAGTGGCCATCCAAAGTCACTAGAGCTCCCTAATGGTCAGTGGGAACATTTGAGAGTGTCTCTAGGCGATGCTGGGGAATGATTCTGCTTGTGCTAAGGGATGTATTTCCCCTTGAAATCAAACAGATCAAGATATCTAAAAGTTTTTTTTATCTCTGTGCTGGACTATGTTCAAGTGAGAGGAAAAGGAGTATCCAGAAGATGATCCAGGCTGTCTRCTGCATGACATGCTGCATGACTTCTCAGACTGGCAGGATGAAGGGGTTGCGAGACTTCCATATTATGCACAACATGCACCACTCTTCAGCCCTGTAGTATTGTCCAGCATTTGCAAAAAATAAGCTTGTATCTTAGAATTTTGCTAATAATGGACCAAGTTGTTCTTTCATTTATACTGCTGTGAACATGGAGTGATTCCAGTATCTTTATTCCAAATTTAAGATGATTAAAGAGTGATGATCAGAACTTTTTGCTATGCAGCTACTGCACCAGTATAATATAAAAACATGAAACACAACAACAAAAAAAAAAAAAACCCAAAATGCAACTTTAATACATAAACTCCACTACAACTTTAAAGTTCTTTCTTTCCTGTTTAAAGATTGATTTTGGCATCTAATATATGATTATGGTAGAGGGAGGATAAGCAGACACTTTATTTTGCCTTCATGATTGAATAAACCTAATCTTTTTATTTTATGGCAGGAGGTGTTTTTCCTGGAGGTTATCATTACTTGCATATTTGCAAACCAGAAATCCCTATATGCCTGGACATACGGCGTGCACAGCCTAATTATGTAAGTGACACGATTTACCTTTCCTTTGATTTGTTCTCAATTTGCAGCAACATTCTTACTCAGAGCATCACAAAGGTAGATTCATAAGTACCATACATCTCAAAATACATCTTGATGAGGGGTGCACATGAGCAGGTGGATAGAGACCTTCTGAGCTGGGACAGAGCAGCACTCTGCAATGGAACAAACAGTGTGAACGCAAATTTCTATGTATTTACTGTAATTTAATTGTAAATTTACTAGCATGCTATAAATATAGCATGCATACAATTAAAGCTACATCTGATTAAGCTCTTTACTTCAGTTCTTACTTCAGGAATATATTCTGGAAGGGGTGCTCTGTCCTTTGCTAGCAGAAAAAAAMCTAATTCTGCAGCCATGAATCCTAGCTGATGGGACGATTCTCCCTGGCACACTGGGGAAAGGCTTCTCTCATGGGAGATAAGTTGTGCAACAAGAAGATTTTAAAGCCAGAGAAGACCATATGCCTAGTCACGCTCCTGTTTCATGTAGATTATAGCTTTTTCCTTGGGGATTTCTGCGTCAAATTCATTCCCACAGATGATATACGGGGGAGTTTAAAAGACTACTTCATTGTTGACTTTAAAACTCAGATAGTAGGGATCTATAGAAAGAAGGGATCTTTTATAAAAGGAATCCAGACCTTAGGAAGAACAGATCAAAGAACAACTCACCTGTTTTCCTGACTTTGCAGTCCAGAAAGGGCTGTCCACAGCAGTACATCCTGGGAAGCAGAAAGCATTGCAGGCAAGAGGGAGCTGGGCTTCCTCAAGCACGCTGCTAGCATGTGATTAGAAGCCTCTCACTGCACCTTTTCTTGCTGCTTCCCAGCCTCTTTTCATGCATCAGGGAGCATGCATCAGGGAACACTTCTAGAGCCACTCCAGAAACTCTATGTAAATCCTAGAAGAATTTTCTAAGCAAAGGAAGTCAGTGAAGTGTATTACCTGAGAGACAATGAAATAGCAAAGGTTACTGTAGCCTAGCAACAGATTTTTAAAAATATATAGACAAGGAGCATGAATACAGCTCTATAAAACAACTTTTGATCACCTCACTGYAATATGAGGTTCAAAACACCTTGCGTTATTTTTGCCTTCCATTGAGCAGTTGATTGATTTAACAAACTGAAACTAAATGCTGCAGTTTGAGCATCAGCATCCTTACTCTTTTATTAATAGCCATGCTCGTGTTCCAGCAGCAGGCAACAAATTAGCAAAAGGGAAGTGCAGAGTAGAGGGATATTCAGTTTGCAAGGGGAAAGAGGCTGCATGTGGGACATCGATGGTTGTGCCTGAGACCTTAAGGACTTTGACCGGTTACCCAGGCTGGGGTCCTGTTTCTTGCATTTCAGGATGAGGTCAGGATTGCACAGCAGAGACGATGGGAAAAGTTCATGCATGTAACACATGAAGCATTGCACCTTGGTGCTGGTAACCAAGGTGTAAACCTCCTGTGTGCCCAAACCATGGCAAAATGACTTGCTGTATAAATCAGGTTACCAAGAAGTCTTAAAAAAAAAAAAAAAAAAAAAAAAAGCAGATTTTGAGAACTGGTAAACAGCAGCACAGAAATCTCGCCTGATCCCGTACATAAGCCAAGTCAGCTGTCCGCTTCCTCTTCACAGCCTTCCCTGTGTTTTCTCTCCTAGGGGATGGAGATTATAACTGGAGAAGCAAGACATGGGGATTATTTCAGGATTCATATCAACGAATACAGCATGGTGGAGGCCATCACTTGCTTTTCCAAGGAACCTCTTCCTGTCTCCAACTATATCTGCCTGTATGGACAGCATGAGCGTCTGCTGAATGACCTCTGTGCCCGCTGGGACCAAAAGCTGATTACAGACCTTTACAGGTAGGAACTCAACATTGTGCCTAAAAATCACATTCGAGCAGAATTAGAGGGGTTTTTATTAAGCTTTATTTATTTATTTTATTATATTTTAATGCAAGCTCTGAAGACCTTCCTCGCCGAGCTCCATCTCTGAGATTTATCTGGAGATACAGCAAGCGTTTGTTTCACCAGCTTCCACAGGAAAGCAAATTTCCATAGCTTCATAACTTTTCCTTTGACTCTTCAGGTAGCTTAAGTCATAAAGCTGTTTGAAGGGTCATTTTTAATGAAGATTCATATTCAGAATTCATGCTTAAAAAGATCTAGTSATCTGAAATCAGATTTTTAAGTCACAGGTTTCTAGTAACATTTAAATCACATATGATGATAGTCACACTGACCAGGTTACCTGCTTGTATGGTAACAAAAAATTACCTCCAATTGGTTTTATTTCTTATGCCTGAGTGAAAATAAGTATTTTTGAGGTCAAGCTTGGCAAAGAAGTCCCGAGTTCCCTGGATGTGGCAGAACTCTTGGAGCTGGCAATTGAACTAGTGGGTAAAGAAGCATTGGCTGCTGCAAATTATTTTGTTTTCAGTTAACAAAATCCCGCACAAGGGGTGGYTTGGGAATGTACCTTGTCACGAATAGAGAGGCAAAGTACTGCCTTGTATAAATTGCTTGTAAGACAGAAAGCCAACACAGAAACAAATGATAAAAAATTCAGATTAAATAGTATTACTTAGCTCTGAGTGGAGCTTCGGAAGGGGACTGTACCCTTTTTGAATATGAAGCACTGAGAGYGAATGTAATAATGACAACTCAATAATTCAAAAAGAAGAATTTGAGCCACATCAGTATGAGGTTATGGTAGGTGGTGCACAGCTGATTCATGGAGGTATTTTATGTATACGGCACTTTCAAAGTAAAAGTTTGATATAAAATATGCCCTGTGGTCCAGGGTATTCAGGGTTTTCAGCAGTTGTCTCCAAAGGTGAAGTCTCCTGGAGAGGATCCAGGACTTCACCGAAAGCTGATGTGCATCTTCTCCCAGTCTGATGTCTTTTGCAGTTCTCCTCCTACAGGGTCTCCTCATTATAAATGTTACACAGTACAGCACTTCCATTTTTGAGTCTCAGCTTGTACAAGAAGACCATTATGAACCCAAATGTCAACTGCTTAAAGGTTTCTTGCACAAAAATGCTTCTTTGCAGGTTGTGTTCCAGGAGAACCGCTGCTAAGGCATGTAAGGCGTTATGAGTTGGGACCACAGCAGAGATAGATGCCAGTCTATAGGAAATGTGGTGCCCAGCTAATGCAGAGCTATGCTCACATAAGCAGTATGTATAGTGCCAATAACGGAAACTGAGGGAGAGTGCACGAGACATGGACTAACCTGGTAGATCATTTCTGAGCACTGTCACAGCCAATCCTGTTCAGCTAATATATTTTGAGCACTGGAAAAAGCCCTCAATATTCAATGGCTTGTTATCAGGCTTTTCGATGGTGTCTTCAGTTACCCAGCCAGTTCTGTGGCCTCCTTTGGATTGCATGTGCACTACCTCTCTCTGCCTACAACTRAAAGACAGCAGCAGTACAGGAGGGTGAAGGCAGCACGACCAGAAGCAGTTACGTTAGAGCAATGACGGAGCAATTCTGCCAACCATCTTGGCAAAAGTCATCAGTGGGTTTTCATTTCCACATCTAAGGTCACACACCCTTAAAATAAAAATCATGGTGGTGTTGTTAATTATTGCTTGCCTAGTCTGGGAGGGACAAGGGAGAATATGTGCTTTAAAAAACAGAAGGAAAGCATTTCAAATGCCTTTATGCAATTACTGCTTAATGGACATTGGTATTCAAACTGCTGCAAAATTGGTCAGTGCCATCACAGTGTGTTCTGTCTGTTCTTCTATCAGATGAAAATAAAAGGCTGATTTTAATGGATTTGGTCAGGTCTTCTCCTGGAGAGCCAGGGGCGATGTGGTGGAGATGCTAATTCTCTTCACCCACCTGAAATCAGCCTTCTCACCCACCACTCTGATTAAGCCTGAGACAAGGCATGGGTGAGGACAGCCCAATAGATGAGCTGGGAAGTAAATCAGGGAACTTAAGGTTTTGAAAGCTTTTCTGGAAATAAGCTGTCATCAGGAACTCATCTAAGTTTCTGCTTCTTTGAGCTTTATTCTCCCTCTTTTACTATATCTCTACCCTACCACATGGGTAGTGCTAACATAGCAGAAGCCCGTGTGAACATAGGTGCACAAAGGCCCTTCCCAGTATGCAAGATCGGCCACTTATGATCTTTTATAACCCGCCCCGTGCAAGAGCTCATGTCACACGGGCCCCTTGGCAGAGCAGGCCTTGCTTCTGCCTTCACAACAGCTTTAGAGCACAGAATACTGGCCTGCCCAGCCTGAGGTACTGATCGTGACAAGGTGAGACATGAACTTTCTAAAGGGGCAGCTTATTTTGTCACGAGGGCACTTCAGAACGTATTAGCCTCTTGGGCTGCCATGCAGGGATCCTCGCACGGTGCCCAAGCTGATTGGGGGATTACAAGTGAGGTCAAGTTTTATACAAGCCTAGAGATTTTTAAAATCTCCAGAGTGATGAGGATCCCACTGATGATCCATTAATAGGATGAGTTGGGCCAGTCAACAATACAGGACGAGGAAGGGCAGCTTTATCCTATCGCAGTACATATTCTCACTGGGGGATTCACTAGCTTYTGCAGAAGACAGGTTGGTTCTTAACTGGCCTTAGCCATGGTTATTTGGTGGCTGAAGCTCCTAGGACCCTACCAGGGTTGAAGTTTTGCCGAGTCAGAGGTATTCGCACATCCACATACAACCTGGGTGTCCAAGTGGTCTGGCCAAGATTACTCCATATGCAGCATGGAAGGACATCGCTCAGCAGGTCTTCATCAGCTCTCTTGAGCATTTCTTAATTAGTGATGATGAACTGATTTGGGACTTTTATTTCTTGTACAGTTGGATGTTCTTATCGATCTTCTGCCTCACTTATTTCACCTCTGTAAGTCTGAGGCAAAATTCCTGAATTTCACGTGCTATGTTTTCCTTATCTGGCTATTTTATCATCATCTTTATGCTTTGTCTTTAGGTGAGTTTGATCCTTTTCTTGGCTATAAAATAATTTTACCTTCTGATATAGTGGCTGGTAGCAAGAAGCTGAGGAGACAGTATTTTACTTCCATGCCCTGTTTCATTCTTGTTGAGAGAATTAATGCATGATAATATGACCATAAAGCCACCAAGGCCCTCTATATTTTTTGGTGTTGCTAATTATTATACATCATAATTACAGACAAACCACTGTGGGGCTGAATTGCAGCTGCACACACAATGTGACTGAAGTCTCATCTTTCTAAATTTTGGGCTGTTCAGCTCTGCAAAACTCTCTCCTAATTAACAAAATAGGGTAAACATGTCAGGACATCCAGCCTGTGGTGAACAACACGGGAAGCCCACCTATGAGTGGTTAATATTTGGAAAGCTAAAAGCACTTAAAAACACCTAAAATAAAGTTCACGTTTACGATTTCACGATTGGTGTTTGAATGCAAGGCTGATGGGGCTGAATTTCTCTTTTGGACCATAAAATAAAAAGTCCTTTCAAACTAGCACACATGACACCTGCATCCACTTGTAGGATCTTCCAACAAGATGTAAAGTGCCCTTAGTGAAAAGAAACTGTAGACTGAGGAAATGTTAGTTAAGCTCCTAGACCTACTGGTTGGAAACATTCATTCCCCTCACCCCTTCTTTATGCCTCTGTCCCAGGGCAGGCCCTCCTCTAAGGCAAGAAAGCCAACGTTTTAATCTTTTCTTGGTCTGCATTTAGATTTCCCAGCAGGACATCCAGTTCCAGGAAYGGACGCAGTGGCACAGCTGTCACCTGGGAGCTCATTTATCTCTGCACTGCATGCAAATTATCTTTTAAATAATTAGAGACTGCACCTAGCAATGGATTTCCTCACTGATTTGTGCTCGGTGTAAAGGCTGAGGGTTAACCCCATGGTACTGCATTTCCTGACTATAATGTGGCAATGCTGCTTTTGAATTAGCCTGAGCAACAGGTCCCCAAGACTCTGCTAACTTGCAGAGTTGTGCGCGTTTGTCAATAAGAAGACAAATCACATTTCCTTTTGTCGAGAGTAAAGTTACAGGGATAAGTTCAGCACGATTAAAAGCTGCAGAACTCAGCCCACAACCAAGCTAAAAATGAAAATGTTGCTCTCCCCTTTTCTCTTCCCCCTTCTGCGCATATATTCCACGTAGGAAGCCAAGCTGGTTGCCAGGGGTCCATCTGCCTTGCCATGATGTGGAAAGCTCCCCGGTGGTCTTGGGGAATATGGTGGTGGTGCTTTGGTTGTGCACTAGCCTCTGTCTCCCACCTCTTCTGCGCTGAAATGCAGGAAGAAGGGAGGCTTGCACCTACAGTCATCCAGACCCCCCGGAGAAAAGGTGGGAACCTCTCATTCCAAGCTTTCATTCTCAGCTTTGGCCCTGAGAATGCAACTACGCTTGTCGTATGGATCATAATTATTCCAAGGCTTTAGTAAGTTCAGAAGTTTCTGATCTTAGCAAGCAGTAATTGAAAAACACCTGATATAAAATCATCTGATCTTATTTTGGCCATCACTYGGTTACGAAATGCACCAGATTCAGYGTGAAAATACTGCAAGCTTTTACTGCACTAAATAGTCCTCTGCCACAGTACTTCCACTGCTCAGTAAAAGCCTCAGATGCTTTGATATCTGTTTTGGGTTTTTTTTTTCCTCTTGGAGCAATGCTTTTGTTTTTATAGTCAGCACTACATGTGCTGGAACTCATCAGTTCTCAGTCCCCAACTTTCCTCCTTCTTCAGCGGACAGTTACTAAGGGCAAATGAAGTTTTGGTGCAAGTTGAGRAGTGTCCAGTTAAAGAAGAGGCGCCTCAAAATGCTCACCTGCCTTAGCTGCCATCCTAGAGACAGAGAGTACTTAATTAAGAACATCA